GGGGTGATTTTGATAAAATTTTACACCAAAAAGAATGCAGATGGATTTATAAACTAAATACCTTGAACCCAAGAGGCCCTAATGAAGGTTTCTCTTTCTCTCCTTTTATTTAAACATGTATATAATAGAATAATTTATATTTGCATTTTCCCTTTTCTCTTTGCTTTCTTTTACTAATCTCCCTTTTCCCTGTTGGCTGTTTTGGTTTAATTATATTCCTTCCATTTTGTCTATTGAAATCTAGAACAAATGATAAATTTATGTAACATTTTTGGGGGGTTGCTGTAACTTTTAGCAAATTTGGTGAAATGGACCTTTGTACTGTGCTGAATAATTTCATCTGTACACTCTCCTCAAAAAAAATTTTTTGATCATATTTAATTATCTCTCCACACTTCAACAATAGGACTTGGAGTTATACCTGTCTCTGAGTATAATAGGTTAAATATGTTAACTGGCCATATACAGCGTTCGTCTTTATTACATATTTCTTTCCCATGTCATTTAGGTCTAAAGATACATATCGATATGATATAAAGGCGTCCTTAATAATACCAAATTGTAACAGTGTTGTAACCATCTTTTGCTACATTATTTTGTAGCATTTATGAGGCACCACCTTTGTGTTTTGACTCGGTTGAGTGGTATACCATTAGGCCCCTCCCTCCGTGTTCCATTGGAGGGCATTTTGTGAGAGACACTGGGATAGTGGCAGGATACGTACCAAGCTAGTCCAGTAGGGCTGAGTGACACGTTTCTATGCCCCTCCCTCCGCACCTCATTGGATGATTAAGTGTGGGACGAATCTATGTCAAGCTATCGATCGAGATACTGCCACGCCCCTCCTCCTCCCCGGGGTTGGAAGATGGGAGTTACTATAGGCATGTTGTCTTCGTCCGCCGATCGGGCGTGACCACGCCCCCTCCACACTCTATTGGCTAAGAGGAGTTCACCTAGCAAGTACGCTCCACAAGGGCGGCTCTAAGATAGGGATTGGCTGCTCCCACTGTAAGGCAGCCTACAGCTCAGACAGGGTTCAGCTCTTGATAAAGGCGTATCTAAACGCCGAAACGCGCGTCGGGCCTCCCCTTTTTGCCGATGCTTTTGTTTTATTATGTCTTTTTTAGGCACTTTACACTCTTTCACTCTATATATTATTTTTTTCTGAATTACATCTCTTTCTCTTTTTTTGCATGGACTTGATGTTATGATAGGGAAAGCTTGGAGGCTGCCTTGAAGTAGCAGTTTAGTAGAGTTTACCACTGTGTGAGTTAGACAGTTAGTCCAGGGCAAGTTAGTTTTTTTTCTGGTGGGTGCACTTGAGAGCCCTCCTTTTGAAATCTTCTGAGTATTATTAGCTTTAAATTTTCTCTCTTCTTATGCAATGTATACCCTTGTGGGCAGCAGTTACTGTTAGAGAGACTGGGCTATATGAAGCTTATACTGATAATACCTCTTTGTAGATGGATATGTCTCCTGTTGTCTAAACCAATGAGAATTTATCCTTGGTAACCACTTGCCTGGAATAGTGACTAAGTTATTTTCTCCCTTTGGTCTCACTACTGCTACTAGACAATATACATATCCCTATCATTATAAACTTGGGATTATTGTCAATTTCTGTTGACATATTTATGTTGTTGCCCCAAAGAAAGGGCCTCCTTAAGTATACACTCATAGGGAATCTACATTTATATATATATAGTATCATGCTATTTTGATATTACTCCATATATGAGTAGTATACCTTAATCTATTTTCACATTGAGTCGGTACATTGGTACATCTACCTTTGAGAATTTGTTATACTATTCTCCAAGATTGGAGGAAATTTTTAAACTTTCTAATAAAGATTGATATATTTCTTCTTTCCCTTCCCCCCATCCTATGTTACACTGACTTTAGGAGGTATATATTTGTGGAGGAGAATGAACTCCGCTCACTATTTGTGATGGTTTTTTTGCTCCGTCTACTTTTTTCCTTGTTTAAATTTGCCACGGGGTTAAGCCCCTTATACCTCTGGTAACCTCTATAGTGGCAGGGGAGCTGGCTAGTCCAGTCCCCTATAGCCTCTATTCCTTCATCAATAATAAATATAATCTATTTACATGTATTCTGTATTTACCTATGCTTGTTATACTAGTTTATGTTTCTTTTGTGTTGTGTCTGCCTTCACAGAATTTGTTTTATCTCTATAATGAAGGCATATATTTGTGTCTCTACAACTGTTTGTTCATTTGTCTACATAGTATACTGCATATGGTACCATGCATTAAATTGCATGCATGTTTTACATTACAGTAGTATGTCTAGGTTTTAGAGTGTGTGTTCTTGCATTCTTGCACGCATGCGTGATGTATTGCTTTAAAGAGATTCTGTATCTTCACACATCATGTTGTAATTTATCATTGCTGGGTGTAAAATCATTAAAGGCACACTATAGGATCAGAAACACAAACATGTATTCATTAACCTATATTGTTAAAAACGCCATCTTGTCCTCCTGGTTGCCACCTAAATATAGCAAAATATTACTTTTATTCCAGTATGCTGGTGCTGGCTCTGCTCCTGATTTGCCTGCTTGGCTGACATCATCAGAGGTGTTGATCAAAGCAAATCACAATGCTTTCCTATAGGAAAGCATTGGATTGGCTAAGCGTGTCAAGGAGGCAGATCAGGGGCAGAGCCAGCACAAGGCAAACACAGCCCTGGCCAACCAGCATCTGCTCATAGAGATGCATTGAATCCATGTATCTCCATGAGGAAAGTTCAGTGTTTCCATACAGAGGGTGGAGGCACTGAATGGCAGTCACACTGTGCAGTGAAGCACCTCATGCAGCCATATGAGGAGTGGCCAGTGGAGGTATCCCTATTGAAAGTAATCCCGGGGTGGTAATGTAAACACTGAAAAGACAGTGTTGACTGCAAAAAACCTGAATAGAATGATTATGCTCACCAGAACAAATATGATAAGCTGTGGTTTTTCTGGTGACTATAGTGTCCATTTAAACCAGGGACTGTAGAGAACAAGCAAAATTTGTAATTGCTAATTTTACGAAAAACAAGCAAAACATGAAAAATTATCCCACTCATATAATTGTCCAGCTTGAGTATGCTGGCATAAAATGTGAACTCCCCAGGTTTAAAATCTTATAAATTCTAGACTGTTGAATAACCCCAATTGTTTGAGCTTCAATGTTGTCTTCTTGCGGTTGATTCCAAGATGCACTCTTGGAATCCTTGTGTACATATTTGAAAAATGTTTAAATCTCTTGTAAGCGTTGTCCTTTGGATTTGCCATCAAGATTATTTTCATGGAGTATCTGTTATTCCATGTATCAGTCTACATTTAGGTATGTTTCCCATGTGTTAATGCATTACATGCCCTTGAAATGTTAAATGTGACAATTCCCTAAAACACAAAAATGTAACACAAAGAATTAGCACATAGTCCTACTGAATTTTCTCTTCTCTCACTTGCTGAAGAGGAGACAGCTGTGTTAAGAGAGTGTGACATCTCTTGAGAATTTTGCATTTTAACATTAGAGTAAAGGCAGAGTGTTACAAAATGTACTTAGAATAGCATTTTTTTTAAACAGAATGTTTATCATAATAATTATAATGCACTTTGTAATGGATACAATTTTGGCCAATCTGTAATTTCTTTAATTAGCCAAATCATGCTAATATTGGGAACTTTCATTGAAAATAAAACACTATGCTGTATATACTGAAATAGCTGAAAGTACTGCTTTTTATCACGTGACCTGTGAATTTTAGATAACATACATTTGTTTTATTACATGACGTGGAGAATTGTTTCCACATATGCCCTAAAATTTTTTTATATGTTAACCATTTAAAATTGTGTCCATTTAAAAGGCTGTTAAAGGTCTCAGAGTTTTACAATTGTATGTTTAATACTAAAGTATTCTAGGATTATTGTTTTCCTTGAAACTGAAATTGCAGTTTTTCTTATCATGGAAAATAATTGCTAAAATACAGTTGTGTCCAAATATACTTCTGGTTAAATAAATGAAATCCAGAGCAATCGATATTTTAAGAATAATAAATTAAGGGGTCAGATCAATTCTATGTATACCAAAAACAAAATGTTATGTACCCGATCTTACACAGATTAGAATATGGTCATCCCATGCAATTACATAGTGTTTGCATTTCTTCTTCTCATAAATCATACTTATTCTCTTTATGCTACTTACCCCTAAACTTCCCTCCCTATACCCTCTATATATTCTATTGGAACATTCACTAGCCTCTGATCCATCTCTCCAATTAACAAGTTATCACTTCTGCCCACCCTTACTTTGTTCAAGTCACCACAATCCCTTTACATCTGTTACATTTTTTCTAATTTTCCTTCTGTTACTGTCCTTACTGTCCATCCTTCTATGCCAGCCACCTGGTCATATACTCTGTCCTAAACTGTCTCCTGCTAGCTTTTGGACCACAGTACTTCTTGGTCAAGGATAACACTAATTTGGTCAACATTTTTCTACATTCCCTTTAATTAATCCACTACAATCCATATTGTTAATTCACGACAATCCATTTGTTAATAACAGAAGGTCATTATTAATGGAATGTACATTAAATGATTGAGAATAATCATAATATCAGTTTATACAAAAGGTACACTTAATGTATGGCTAGATTTTAAGGATGATTTGGGGACTACCCATAGAGCAGTGATGATTCTAGTAAGTGTCCTTGGCTGTATCATAGATTGTAAGCTTGTTTGAACAGTGCCCTCTTAACCTTCAAATATTCTCTTTTTATAACTGTAAAGTGTCTCAGAGTATGTTGATGCTGTGTTAATGTTTGTAACGTTTTTGGAATATCATCCATTTAAAACACATCTAATTAACACTTGTCTAGTTCTATAATTTTAATCTACTTCTAATAAATATTTTCTGAGTCTTCCTTCCAAATCTTTTTTACAAATATATCTTTCAGTCACATATTTAAAAAAAATTAGAGATCAGTTTAAAGGACCACTATAGTGCCAGGAAAACAAACTCGTTTTCCTGGCACTATAGTGGTCCTTTAAACTGATCTCTAATTTATCTCTGAGTCTTCCTTCCAAATCTTTTTTACAAATGTATCTTTCAGTCACATATTTAAAAAAAAATTAGAGATCAGTTTAAAGGACCACTATAGTGCCAGGAAAACAAACTCGGTATAGGGAGGGAAGGATAACTAAGATCCCTCAGAAGTTAAGCAGAATACTGTCGTGTCAGTTCAACCTTTCATTACATCCAACCTTCTAACTGGGTAAAATGTTTCTACTGTAATTATATTAATATTGCCAGATTCCTTGGTTTCTTTAGTTCTATTACAAGATTCTCATTGATTTTCTGTCAAATTTTAAATCCAATTGACTCCAAGCATGGTATTTCCCTTTCGGATTCATTAATTCCTACAGTAGGAAGAAGAGAAGGCATGGAGAGCCCAAGAGACATTTAGGAGAACATGCTGACTTATAATTGTCATGTAATCAGTTTTTGCCCCAAACTCTTTTAAATTAGGTTTGATCACATTGGTTCTGCGTGTTTCCATTTTATACCATTAATGTAGGTTAAGAGAGTGGGACAGCACTCTAGACATTGGATACTGTAAATAAAAAGTCGTCGTGCAAGCTAGGTATTTCAGTATAAAATATAAAAAATATCCAGATGATAATGCACCAGACACTATGCTTGATTTCTGAAATGTGCGAATATGGGCAAGTTTGGTTTTATGGCTTGACGCTATGTCTATATGTCTATGTCTATGTTGGGTGTTAACTCATTGCGCACTATAATGATACAATTGTGATTAACCAGACTTAATGCACAATGTTTTGTGCTTTTCTCCAAAAATGTAAAACAAACTTCTCTAGATTAGTACTAATCTAGATTCTCTGATGTATTTGGTAAATGTTTATTTTCCTTTGATTACTTGGTGTTACTTTACCCTAATCTATCCATCAAATCCGTGATCGAAAATAAGCTCATTATATATAAATAATACATAAATACATTTAGAATGAAATATATATACAATTTTATTCTAAGTGCATTTTTATTTTATATATATCAAAATGCACTTAGAATAAAATTCTAAGGGTTGCACTCATCTGAACATGCAAACTTATAAGGATGCTGCTGGAGTCAATTCATACAACTTACAAAATTCAGCACACTCGCTCATTCACTAAACAGCAATTTCAAGACTCACAGAATGTTATAGTTTTATTTAAAACCTCCTCACCTAGGTAAAAATAATGGAGTTTAGTTACAGAATGTGATCATACATTTCATAAGCCTGACACAACATCAGTGTACCCCATTCTTGCCAGGAAATGCTTTCTCCTGGGACTCTCTGGAGTGCAAGATTAAATAGAGGCCAGGATAAAACATTTCTCAAGTAAGTGGATTATCTCATAAAAGCAGGCATTAGGTTGCTAGAGTAGGACCTACCAAGAAAGGGGTGTACTAACTCTCACTACTTGTGAGACATTGCTGAACACAAATATGAGTGTTTCAGATCAGTAAAATGTATAATGATGTCGCCATCATCAGTAAAATTGCAGTTTTGTGTGGAAAATACAAAAAACAAACATGGACACTACATTTGGTCAGGGTTTGTGAGTATAAGTGCATACTAAAAAAGACTGGGCATACCCCATTTTGCATACACTGGGTTGTCTAGTTTTGGCAAATGGAATGCCAAGATGGGGATAATTTTTATTCCTCTTCTGCCATACAATCTTAAAGACAACATAGATCCAGCAAAATAATCTAAAAATGTGTTTCAAAACCCTGTTTGACCCTGTAAACTTTCCAAAACACCATAAAACCCAATAGGGGCATTGTTGCACTCATGTGATATCACAGCATACAAATATGTGTGTTTTATTGCAGTGAAAGCTAACAGGGTTGTGATATAAAGAGTTAAAATGCCATACAGAACTTGGAAAATAACATTTCTTAATTTCGCACAGTTTTTTTTTCTACATTTTATTTATATTAAATTGTGTTCCATTTATAAATATTTAATGTGACATGAAAGCCCTATTTCACCTGAACAAAATGTTATATAAGAAGTGTGCGGACATTTAATATGAAAGAGGTAAATTATGATTGAATAGTTGTATAGCTCAAATTTAGATTTTCTTTTGGTTCAGAACTTGCCAATTGGATATTTGCTTCCATCTTTATTGGGTTAAAGAAATTAATTTTCTTTTAGATCTTTTAAAGTAAATATAAGAAAAGGCAAGTGAGTCTGCAAATCTCACTTCATCATTAGCAAGAACAAATCTGAATCACTAACGCCATGTGTCCGAATGGATTAGCTAGTGTCTGTGTTGCAGTCATCGAAAGATATGTTCTAAGACTCTTCTTTAAGAGGTCAAAAATGAACAGTGAAGCTCATTTGGCCCATGAGGTTTAAATGAAAATGAAGTAGTCAAGCAGACGCCTCTACTTATCAATTATATATTGAAGCAGCCAGCTTCCGTCTAAAGATAGACAGCTCCAGCCCTGCCTTTTCCAATCTCAGCCATTTAAAATAAAATCACAGTCATATCAGTGAATTACAAGTCTATAAGCAGCAATTTCCTAACAAGCACTTAACATCACTCATTCTATATATGATGCACAATTTGAAAATTTAACATAAAGATAATTGGTCACTTCCTGGGTTTTTAATATTATGTTTAGTTATCTTATAATATATGTACATTTTTTTTGTTTGTCTTTTAAAACATTGTTTTTGTTTAGAGTAACTCTGCACATCTTCCCCCTCCCCCAAAAAAATTTAAATTGGAAGAACTTGCGCAAACTCACCTCCGTTCCGACACCAAGGCCAAGTTTTCCCTTGTGATGTCATTTGCAAAATGTTTACTATACATTTAAAAGAAAATTGAGATTTATGTAAGAAATTGTTAATTGAGACTTCATTTTAATGAGTGTCTAGGTGATTGGGGACCCCGAGTCACCTGGGGATTACTATTAAACGGGGTAGTTGACAATGGCATGCTCACCCCCCTATTTTATAATTAAATAGTGTCCCACTCACCAGCATGGCTGGGTGCTAAGTGCAGGGACACTGGGTTCCACCTTATTATACATATTAGTGCCCTCACCCATGAGCATGGGTTGGGGCCAGAGGAGGGGATACTAGGTCTTCCAACCTTAAAATTGAAAGTAGCCTCCAGCCAATGCCTATCAGTGACAGCTGGTCACTTCCTCCCAGGAGGGACAGACCCTAAGTCACAACTACCTCAGTCTGCACACTGAACCCCAGGGAAGCCACTCTCATGCACCCAAAAAGTAGGAAACAGGAAGACAGCTATAAAAGTGTATATTTTTGACTGCATGTGTCTGTATGTCTGTCAGTTTGTGTCTGTTTGTGTATCTTATGTGTCTGTCAGTAGGTGTGTCTGTATGTCTGTCAGTGTGCATCTGTATGTCTCAGTGTGTGTATTGGTATGTCTTTCAGTGTGTGTGTGTGTAAATCTATGTATGTCTGTCAGTGTGTGTGCATCTGCATGTCTGTCAGTGTGTGTTGTATTTGTATTTCTTTCAATGTGTGTGTGTATGTATGTCTTTCAGTATGTGTATCTGTATGTCTGTCAGTGTGTGTGTGTGTGTGTGTGTGTGTGTGTATCCGTATGTCTGTTAGTGGGTGTGTGTATCTGTATGTTTGTCAGTGTGTGTGTGTATCTGTATGTCTGTTAGTGTGTGTATCTGTATGTCTGTCAGTTTGTATGTGTCTGTATGTCTGTCATTGTGTGCATCTGTATTTTTATATGTAATTTAATACCTTTACTGAAGTGAGATGCTAAAAATCTATCTGCGTAAGTTTAACCTATTTTAATTTTGCTCCCTACCTACTGCCAATTGAGCAGGTCTGGTTTGTACTTCAAAGACATTTTAAGAGGAAAGGTTATAACTAATAAGAGATCAGTGATTGGCTACAGGACAGAGGGATGTCAGCTGCTGAGCTCACACTGATCTTTCATTAGCTACACTGAGTACGTGCTCAGAATACATCTAAAAGGGAAGTTGCTTTGTGAAACAAGGTAGTGTAGCTAAAGGTACTGGGTTAAGCTGCAGAAAGCTGTAAGACTTTTCCTTTCTTTCTTCCTTTTTTTTTTAGCAAAACAAATGGGATTTGAATATAAAGAAAACCACAGCTTGAATATGAGGTCAAAATCCATCAAATAAATGTAAGACTTGTTGGTGGCTGGAGTTTGGAAGGAATGTTGGAGGCGATCAATTAAAAGATGTAATGGGAGAATTTGCTTAAAATAAAATGTCTCTCTGATCTGCACTATCCAGCACACAGTATGCCTCTCTTGACAAACATCCGTGTATGGGTTCCAAACTAACCAGGTCACTATTGCATGTGAACTATTTTGTGGACTTTTTATTTATGAAATAATTGGGCAGAAGTCCAATTTATATGAACTGTAAACTGTGTTTTTTATTCAGCATTTCACTGTTATGGTCTAATTTACATGTTTGTGTTTTATACTTAATGGATACCGATCTTATTTGTTCATACATTTCCACACATTTAATGAATTCTATTATTTATTTGCATTGCTTCAAATAAAAAAAACCAATACATTAAAAATACACACAGTTATATACATCGGAGCACGTCACTTACATTCAAAAAGTGTAGCCTAAAATAAATTATTTATGTAACGTCCACTCTTTAATTTTCACATATCGTCACATACCATTCAGCCATCAATTCTTCATTTTAGTGCCGCACACGTTATTTTCGTTTCTGTTATATATCACAAGTGGAAAAAAACAACATGCCTAGTGGCACCGCTGCAATTCAGGAATAAAGGTGCATTAGGATTATAGTGACATAATGAAGATGTATTGTGACCTACTCATGCCATCGAATTACTGATATGGCTTCAATTACAAGCTCCAACCATTAATTTGTTTTGTACTCCACATTGAACATGACATTAATTTTATTAGATGTTTGTGCCTTCATCATTTATGAAATCTTTATTTTATTGTTTAGCCTTCATTTAAACAGCGATGTCTC